TGAGCCTGCTTGCCAATGTTTCCCTTCACATCCAACAAAGGAGGGAGATTCCCCCTGGCCCTCCTTTTTTCGCTGATATATTTGTAAAAACATTTTTTGTTTTCCTTAATGGCGGTGGCCAGTTTAAGTTCGAGCTGTGCCTTTGCCTTTCTAATCTTCTCCCTGCATAACCTCACAACATCCTTGTAGTCCTCCTGAGTCCCCTGCCCCTTCTTCCAAAGGCGGTAGAGCTCTCCTTTTTTTCCTGAGTTCTAGCCAAAGCTCTCCATCCAGCCAGGCCAGTCTTCTCCCCCGATTGCTCGACTTGCGGCACATGTGGACAGCCTGCTCCTGCACCTTTAAGATTTCCTCCTTCAATAACGTCCAGCCTTCCTGGACACCTTTGCCCTTCAGGACTGCTTCCCAAGGGACTCTGTTAACCAGACTCCCGAAGAGCCCAAAGTCCGCCCTTCTAAAGTTCAGGGTAGCGGTCTTGCTGACCCCCTTTCCTTACCTCTCCCAGAACTGATAGATGTCCAAAGCAATAATAATAAAAAAAAACCCACAAACAAAAAAAACAACCCAAAACACCATTGCTCTTGTAGTAGAACATTTACTCTAAGGAATATAGAAAACTATTGCTGGATCTGATACGTATAGCTGTAACAGTAAGGAAGGCCTCCCTTCTCCCACACTCACTATTTCAACTACGGGATATCCTGTCTGATGCCAGTGATGATTCCAATACTGGGTCCTCACAGAAAGTGCAAACGACATACAGGCTTGACCACTGAAAGTCTGGCATAAGGGACGGCAATGATCATCAAGCGATCTAAGAGACAGAGTTCTCAAAACTGTAGTGGACCACACAAACTCATTTTTTCTTCATGACTAATATAATCTGAAAAGATACGAACACTTGCAGATAAGCCCTGAATTTAGAGATGCTCTAGTGAATGTGATAACTAAAGTGAGTGAGACAGGGATCCCTTCTCAGCACTCAAAAAACCCAATGCACCACAATTAGGTAAAAGAGCTGTCTATAAATCAGAACTTTTTAGGAGCTTGTCACATGTATCCACCTGCAGGCCAATGGAAGACATGACTCATTGCAAAAACCATAAAGGCTTCTGAACTGATACTATTGATTCACCTCAGAGAGATGATGCAGAATGTCAGCTAAACAGCACAAGGCCTCAAAAAGTTTGAACAAAATCCTACAGAGTCCTCTTTATAAAGGACACCAAGTCATCAAGCAGATGTTACAGAGCGAACCGTCAATGGCAAGAATGGACAGAGCCTTAGAAAAAAGGGCTGTTAAACCTCTGAAATTAGAGGTATCTAGGACACCAAGGAGCTGGTGTTGAAGGACAACTGCCACGGAGAAAAAGAAGTGACACTTAAAGCTATGATTCTCAGCACATCTGAGGCAGCAGCTGGCACCAGAATCCAAGGTAAAAAAAGTTACAGACAGGAGGGGAACTGTACTTCAGCAAGGATGAAGAAAACATTTGTGCAGTATGGGAACTGAAGATATTTCCTGAAGAAACCATGTTGAGCTTTCCCCGTCCTCCATTTACAATAGTTGAGTAATGAATACAGTCATAGTCTGTGGAAAGATTACTCAGCAAGGTAAACTGTTTTGACTAGAAGAAAGGGACAACCAAGAACGTCATCCTGTATTCTGATTTAGGTGAATCGTCTATACAGTCTTCTCTAGGTTGAAAGCACAAAATTTCTCAAGCTATCTGATACAGAGACTTGGTGCTTGGCTCACTCAAGCTGGTGTTTGGTACTTAGGGCACTAGTGATGAAAAAGTGGCCTAAGGTTTGGAATATAAAGTTCTTGCTACAAAGTTCCCAGAAAATCAGATAGTACTGTGTTCAAAATGTGAGTTCTGGGGAGCTTGATTTCAAGGTCTAGAGAAAAGCAAGTGTTTGAAATTCAACTCTAAGTTATGCTTTTAAAAAACAAAAAAGCTTACAAACAGTAGGGTCCTTTATGTGGCTTTACTCAGCCCACATCTAAAGGGTGCTCCTTTAAATTCCTAGTAGACTTAAGGCTAACTGTCAGAATACCAAGCTAGTAGTAGATTTGCCTGTTACAAGTCCTTTGAGACCTTTTTCAGAGGTATGACCTGATAACGATAAGACAGATGGGTTCTGACAGATAGATGGAGGTAGAATACAGTTTAGAATCACTGTAACCTGATTTTCAATACTTGGAAATAAATTCAGAGAGTTAGCTAGTAGATCTTTCAAGATGCTTTTCTAACACTTTACAAGTGCAAGCCCAAATAAACGAAAATTCATTTGCTTGCAACCTACTTCTAAGCACTACACAAACCTATCTTAAAACTCAGGACTGGAAAGTGGTCAGGAGTGCAATATGACATAACCTTTTGTAAGCAGCATTGGAGAAAAGAAGAATAAAACAAGACAGAAAATTCTTTGGGATCTCCCTCACCTTGCAAAAAGTAGGAGGAAAAAGATAAAACCAAAAGAAAATCTACAGTGCAAGATAAAAACATGCCAAAATTAAATGAGAACTAAAACAAAACAAAAAACCCCTTCTCATGAAAAGCACACCAATTCAGCCAAACAACTGAAGGGGAAGGACACGAATGTGTCTTCTGGTTCTGTGAAAGCCTGAATAATTATCATACAAGCATCCAAATGTGGGTGTACATACAGATAACTAGAAGGAAAAAATCACATTTATGGATTCCTGTTTAGAGTTTTGATTTAGAAGCACCATATCTATCACTGCAGCAACTGCGTTCATACCATACTTAATATACTCCACAAAATAAATACATAAATAAAAAAACTAAATTTCTTTCAACCACTGCCATAAGAAATGACTGATGTTCATGAAGTTTAATTATCAATACGTTATTTCAGACTCTAAACTTGATATTGTGCTTACTTTTAGTCACATGGATTATTAAGGAAGAAAGACCACTTCACAGATTTCAGAAAGCCTATACAGATTTCACTTCAGTCTCCTGGAATTATGCTCAGACACTACATTGAAAACTAAGTAGTACACTAACCTAGGAAAAACAAGGCTAACCAATTAAGTGTAACTACTAAACTACTCAAGTCACATTACCTTGCCTAATAATGATTACCTACTTAAATGTATTCTACATTTGCTGTATTCTGAATAACAAACAGTTAACATACTGCATATACAGGTGTTCAGCCTACATAATAGGGCATCAGGAAGGAAAAGAATAAACTAATAGTCTAGGCTGTTGTGGAGGTGGGAACGGGGGGAAAAAAAGCAAGCCTGAAGCTTTGGGTATAATCGCTTCCAACTTGACTTATCCTATCATCCTTTGAATGTATTTTCCACAGTAGATCTTACTCACTGAAAGTGGAAAGAAATGTATCACAGATCAGTTATTCTGAAGAAGCAGTATATGGAGCTATTTAATATTTGCTTAATTACAAGCTGAAACTAACCATGCCTTATAATAACAAATGTGAAATACAAGGAAAACACAAAGATTGTATGATGCACAATTCAATCACTAGAATTAAAATGTATGTCCCTAAAATCTCCACAACCTCATGTTGCAGTTATTCTTAGATTCACTTAAATGAAATTTTACCTCAACTTCTGCTTGTTGCCTTGCTAGAGTGATGTTAAAAATATCCAAGGCCTTTTCAAATTCCTAGAAAGAAGGTGAGAAATCATTTTTTTACAATTTCATTTGGTTAGATTTCACAGCTCAGTTTTACAGGAAATGACAATAAACAACTCTTTCAGTACAACCCAAGTTAATTTGCTCAAGCTGAAAACTTAAAATAAACCTGGAAAAGAAAAGCACAGCAGTTTAAGTTTTTCTTTACTCCAGTTACTAATTTAAAAAATTATCTAATAAGTTTGTTAATACTACTCACAGAGAAAGGTACTGATGAGGTTGCAAGTCTGGCCACTTAAAATTTTATTTTAACTTAGTACTGACTTAGGAACATCTAAACATTTGAATTTAAGAAAATAGAAAGGTGGACAATATTAAACCTCTAATGAAAATGGCTGACCTCCAACAATTTTAAGATTTCTTCATTAGGCTTTTTTGACGTTATCTTTGTTTTATACATCTCTTTATAGTTCTTCACTTGTTTCCTGTGGTGCCGAATATGTTCCCATGACCACATTTGGAGTTTAGGTTGAACATTTACTTCAAGGATGCCATAGATAACGTATTTCCACCTAAAAGCCAAGACAAATGAAGTATAGTTTACATTTCTTTTGGTATATTGAAAAGACACCTAGAGCTATGCAGACTCCCACTAAATACAACTTCAGGTTGTGAAAGGGTGAAATCCCTTGTCTAATCTCACACTTCTGACCAATAGAGGAACCTGAGCTTTTTTTTTTTTTTTCCATACAAAGTTGACAGGTTGCTATTTCCTAAAATTAAAAGTAACCTTGTACAAAATGTGACCACAAATACATGTATGTGTGTGTGCATAAATAATCAAAACATATTTGTAAGGAATCTTCTGACAAGAAATCCAATATCTGCCATCTGTGTTGAAAAAGTTTGCCTATTTTTATATAATAGCTATGTTCTTGTAATAGTACCTAACATTTAATGGGGTTTTATTCATAAAAACAGAGTTAAGATGTTAAATTCTATCAGACTTAAATTTGTGTCTTTAAGACGGCAAATGCAGGCTTTCAAATATTCTGTCCTCACCTTTGGTTTGAGGTCCTCACCAATGTTTTTTTTAATACTCCTAGCTTACAAAAAACAAACAAAAACAAAAGAGAAGACTTTGTTTCAGAAGGAAATGAGTTCTAACCTCCTTAACTAAGAAACAATCCCTTGGTAATTATTGCAAATTAATAACTAACAAATTATTTTCAAAGTCTGAAGTGGCCTACCATGTCTTGGCATTGTTGTGCAACGGAACATCAGGTCTGTACTTCCTATATGGCAGATTTCGAGTCATCATATCAATAGACTCAAGAAGCTCCATAACACTGAAGTACTAAAAAAAAAAACCAAACAAACAAAAAAAATTTCAAACTGAGTGTTAGAAAAACAAGACTAAGAAGTGAATCAATTCTGTATGTTTATTATAAAATTTCAGACTGCTTTTCCTATTTTTCTTGCAAACTAACTTTTTTACCACTTTACATAAAACTTCATAAAAATCGTTTATACCTGTGGCTTATTGAATTCAACAGTTATATCCTGTAAATTTACATCCAAATCCATTTTCGGTGATGAAAAGTCAACATCAGATCGAGGATTCATAAGGAGTTTGGCTTTAGCTGAAATTGGGCGGAATACTAAAAAATAGAAGTTGATATAAGAATTGCAATTAAATTCCTTAAGATTGCCATAAATTATACTTATCAGCTCAAGTTATGTCAGATTATTCATTTAAAAATGCTAGACTTCAAAACAGGTACATTTCATCAACACATCTTAAAATGCAATACAATCTATACTCAATTTCTAGTTTCATTCTGGCAACGTTTACGCAACAAATATTTGTGGAACATTTTCACAAAATTTCCTGTATGCAGTATTATATAGCAGATGTTTCAATTAATAGTTTATATTTGCAGCAAATCTTATTTTTTTGGCTATGATATAAGCTATTTTTAGTACAAGATAGTTTCAAACATAGCACTTACTCCACTATAATAACTCTTATTCCATAAGGACTTTTTTTTTTTCTAATGTTAGTGATGTTTTACACTGTTTGATAAATTATACTCACAACAGTGGATAAAACCAAACATTCCACTTTTCTAAATCCAAGCCCAAGTAAGCATGGGAAAAATAAATATGGATCCTACATAAAGTGAAGCACAACACATGAAAAAATACTCAGAGCAGAAATGTTTTATGTGTTCCACAATTTGGCAATATCAGGCATTCAATATAGCCTTCAGAAGCCATGTTTAGTTTAATTTTTCCATCTGTTTCAGCAATTGATCCAACAATAAGAATTTGTATATTACTTGAATTTGTGTAAATCATATTTCTGTCCAATAAAATTCCTTTGATTTCAACAGAAATACTGATAGACCATCTAAATGCCAAATATTCTAAATTCACTGAAAGGTTCATACAAATGGAAACAGACATTTTTGCAAGATGAAACCATGTTTACCCCAATTCACCTTTATTTCATTTTAAGCCCTGTATTTCTTGTGAAGCTTATTTTACTTTTATCTACACATGTTATGTGGTAGCATTTCTATTAATTCCCTTCCTAAATTTCATTTTTCATCCTTCCTATGTGTAAGTATTATATTTGCATTTAGATCAAATGACAGAAGCAGACTTTGTGCTTACTACCTTTCTATCAATGTCTCAATCTAAAGAGTTGCTCTAAAAGAGTCAGAATTTTCATTTACTGCAGAATATCAGCATGATGTAATTTTTAAATATCTGTGTCTCTGATGGTACTGCTGAATTTTAAGAGTGTAAATCCTGAATCCTACAATCTTACATACAACTATTTTGAACTTCTATGTAAAGGCTTAGACAACTGATGATGTTTAAACCTATTTTCTTATTAAAAGAGTCAAAGCTAGCAACTGAAACAGACAAATAAGAAATCAGAAGAAATTACTAAATAGTTCTCTGGCAGTCAAATAAAGAGACACAAAAAGCTTTCTCTTTCAGGCAAAGGTGTCAAGAAAAACACATAAGTGCCCTTTTTAACCCTGGCTATAGCGAACTGAGGACTCGCTTGCTAGAGAACAAGCCACTTCAAAGGCCATTCTGCCTTGTAAAGAGTTACTAAACAAACACACAGATGCATATGAGAAATAAAAACCATGTATTTTCCATACAATGAAAAGTAAACAATCACCATGTTTGAGTGGAGCCAATACGACTTTCAGACTAAAGTAAGCAACACTCAAAGCAATACAACTTGCGATATTGCAACACTAAAACAAAAATAAAATAAAAACGTTGATGTTTCAGAGTTGTGTGATGACTGTTTCCACCTCTAATGAAAAAAGATCCACTTCACATAAGTCAAGTGACCTCAAAAACTTTAATCTATTACTCAAACCAATCTGATTTGCAAAACTTATATGATGCATATATTATTGCTAAACTTCTTAAAATAAGGAATTATCAATGGATGTGAACAATGAGGATTTATGTACGACATTCCATTAGAATGATACATGACTCAAGACTCATACTTTAATCAAAGCCTTTTTAAGGCTACAGATACGGTACAGTATTCAGTGTCAGAGAGACATTCCTCCAAAAGAACTTAACTGAACTCCTTCTTAAGATTTTTGAATAACAGCCAAAGTAGCAATCTCTGAGAGGCATTAAAAATTAGAAGTAAAGTATACATGCACATTACAAATACAAATAAAATACCACTTACCAAAATCATAACCTTCTGGAATCACATTGTGGCTGGCAACTCCCTGTTTTAAGTTAACCTACATACACAATGGAGTTAAAAATAAGTCGCATTTTTATTTCATGATTAAGTTTTAAAAGAGAAAACGTTAGCATTTTAATATAGGTTTCAGATAATCCCTCTGATACACAGTACAATTCAAAATATTCATCTATGTTTTAAACAGAATAAGACTTCTATTTTTAGCTAATAAAATCACTGAACAGTAAGATGACCATATATTGTGTATAATTTTGTAAGTGGCAAAGGACTTTTTTTTTTTTTTTTTTTTCAATTTCCTCAGATGGGTGTTGTACTTCCATCACATAAAAAAACTTAACATCTACTATTTTTCCTAAAAAAGCTATTAGTAACAAGACAATTCTCCAGGACATTGACATAAATGAAAGCAGAACTGAATGTGAAGCATGCTCTATGCTTCACAGCATGAATTAGAATACTAGATACATTATGTCATGCTTTACTTACCAACGATTCATCACAACCACCATGGTAGAACATCTCCGATTTCACATTCCAATAAGCAAAAAGGTTATCCAGCCGCACAAGCTGAAAATACAACACGACGTATGTATTAATACCTAGAAATTTTAGATTAACAATTTGGATTTCACAAAGTCCGAATGAATAAAAATACTCAGAATGTTCCTTGCAGACTACGCATCCTTTTATTTTAAAGCCTATACAGTTATATGTCTTCTTGATCTCACTTTTCTGTGGATGGAACTCTAATTCAGCTTGTTTTATTAACAATTTTTTCTTTAGCATACAGTTTATACTGCACCTTGTAGAACAACTTGGCAGTTTCATCATGTAAACATGGATTCCAATTCTTATCTGAGGTCTGAAATGAGAATTAAAGAAAGTTATTTCGATACCTATAATACACCAACATTTTATCATCACTGAAACAAATCAGAAAAAAAAGAGAGGAACATCATCATAATTAAACCCCATTGAAAATAACGGGACACCATCTGCTGATTTAAGATGATTAAGCCATTATTTTAAGTGGAAACTTGATAAGGCTACTTCACCCCCCAAAATACACATGTGTATGTGTACTGGCAGGCTGCACACAAGCACTAAAAGATTCTTTAAAAGTCTGTTTTCAGTATTGCAAACTGTTTTGGCTTACACCAATATTATTTTTAGGCAGGCTCTCTGGAGGGAGATAAACAAGGGACTAAAATTCTTTTGTAATTCTGGAAGTAGCATTTTAGTTTGAGCCCAACAGAAACCCTATATGCTACTATACCTTTTCAAGGCTAATATGCATTTCAAGAGTGAAATAGTAAGAATATTAAAGCTTTTATTCACTATGCAAAACTGTTTAGGGGAAGGGGCTGGCAAAAACCTTTCAATGTGCTAGGAACAAGCATTCATAAGACAACTATTTCATTCAAGAAAGTAAGATTTATTTAGACATGTTTTCTTTAATATTATCAGTTACATAGCAAAAGCTACTGAATCAGAGCAACTTAGCAGAATTAGCATATTGCTGCTACTAGGTAAGTCTTCAAGAAAAAAAAATGTATACAATCTACGATGACTACTATTAGCACTTTAAAGTGGAGTTTGCAATCAAAAGAACTGAGATTCAGTTTGAAACAAGATGCCATCCTCTTTTTTTTCCCTTTTTTCCCCTCCTCAGTATCAAGTAGTAACTTCCTTTCTTGGGGCTCGTGGCACTTTCAGTAAAACATTCGTAGATTCTGAATAGCCATAATCCAGCAAAGTCTGGTACTCAGCAACCATGAAGTGCAGCAGGCAGAAGAATAATAATATCCTCCCAAAAGTCTGTTTTAATGCTAGCATTTTATCTTTAATGGCACCTGCCACCACAATATTTATGCTGGATTTGATAAACCAAGTAGTTACCATTGTGCATCGCTCATGATTACCAGGTATACTTTCATTAGACAGTATGTTACCAGACAACACAATAATACACAAAAACATAACTTAACCTATCAGTATACATCAATACGCTTTTTAGATGAAAAATAAAATTACCTGCAAACTTAGATTCTGAAGTGAAATCCCAAATGACAAGGGGTTGTTCCGATTTGTGATCTAATAGAGCAGGGGAAAAAAAAAAATGAAAAAAAGAATTCTCTTATGCTCTAAATTTAGACTTGGAAGTAAATAGCCAAGAATAAAAAAAATATATATAGCAAAGATCTGACAACTGTATCTTCTTTGTACCCAACCATATGCTTATAAATATCTTTATGCTTTGGTACAAGCTTTTTATCTGTTTTCTTTTTTATTTATTTTTTTTTAAGACTATGAAATTTCCAAAACTTTACTAGGATTCCCTCAACGTGTAAAGCAACTAGGAGAAAAGAAATCAGACAGGTTCCTAATTTCAGTTTACAGTGCACGACCCCTTATGCTGAGATATACAATAGTACTTACATCATCTTCATAGCGAATATGGATGTTGGAAATTTTCACCTGAAGGTTTTTGATGACCTGAGTGATGAGTTTTTCTACAAAAGTGTCCTGTTTCTCTTCTTTTACTTTATCTAAGTTAAAGGAAAAGAATTTAATATTTTGTTTGCATTAAAGTATTTTTAAAACTACACTAGAGAAAACAATAACATAATAAGGTTTGTATGATAGATATTTAAATTTCCTATTACATTGTACTCTAGTTGTATAAAAACATATCCTTTCAGTATAATCTATAACATTTATATCCTCAGACTAGACAGTTTCAGCTTTATTACCTGCTACATGAAGCATCAAGTTGTTCGAAAGTATGAATTGTACCCACTGATACTCAAGGTGGCCAATACATATTTCTTGAAAGTACCAAAAGTTGAATTTAAGATGATGAGACTTAATATGTATCAAAGAACAAATTAAACAGAATCTTTTAAAAGGTGTAACCATAAAAATTCTTTGCTACTGGAAACAAAGTTAAATTGTTTCTTATGAAAGAAGAGGAAAGAAAACGTCAGGCAACATGTGACACAAGCAAGCAATATTTCAAAAGCCTTATTTATATCAGATCATGTCAATGCTTGAACCTTTTTATTTTCAGGACACGTGTTCTGCAATATTGATGGCAGCTACACCTAAAAATATGTAACTAATAGGTTTTTAAGTATTAAGAGGAAAACAGGAATCTAAGACACTTTAAGTGACAAATCCAGCATCTTTCTGGATTAAAATAAAGAAAGAAATAGCGCCACTTTTATTAGCTTTTCCCAGTCTTACCTTGGTCAGCTATTTTCTGCTTTGCTTCCTCTATCCTTTGCAATTCCCTTTGTCTTGCTTCCAAGAGCTGCCTGGCTTCTTTTTCAGCATCATATTTTATGCCTAAATACACAATGTAAAAAGGTATGATACAAAAAACCTTACATATTTTTGGAAGATGCTGTTTCAAAAGCAATAATTTTCCCATTTTGTTAATAATTACATAACAGCAAAAAATTGGGTGACTAAATGTAAACTACTGAAAGACACTCCATTCCCATTATCTAATTGTATTTCCTAGAAGTATCTACTAGGAATAAAGCTCATGAAAACAATATCAACCCATTCCAGATACTTCTGAAATCCCACCGATCTATATTAAACTTACTGGCTGTGGGCACAATAAGCAAATAAACTCCATCAAGAACTGCCTCAACGGGTTGAGTATAAAGGTTTTGCCATGGAATCTGTAGGTTAAGTTGACCTACAAACACAAAAGAAAAAGGTTGAGGTATACAGCTAAATAGTTGACTGGGAAAAAAAAGATGGGAACGATAATCGACATTAACCACAAAATCTCTGACCAATTACTATATTGAACAGAAAAAACAGTGCATCTGAGGCATATGTCCTTTGGGTTATTTGTTTTACACAGTACACAAATGAACATGAGGCAAGTTTTTCCATGAGCAGAACTATTAAGTTTATAGGTCCTCTCCTCACTGCCTTGAATCATATTCCTTCTTCCTAACAGCCACCTCTCCCTCCTTGCAAATCCACTGCAGCACCCTCATACACAAGAAACGCATGTACAACTCATACGTCATCAGTCAGCTAAATACTTCCAAACCCACAATTTTTAAAACACAGATTCTTCTTTCTTTTTCTATGGAAGAGAGTCTTAAAGTAGTGTGTATGTTTTGTGAACACGGGGACCCTGAGGTTACAGGGTCTCTCCTTCTTCACACAAGTGCCAATTTTAATAAGCTATGAAATCAGTCACAGGAAAATATATACTTCCGGGGTAGATTTAAAGGAAACATAATGACTATAGACTTAGTTTGCTTTAAGAAACCACTAACTTCTACACAGCAATCAGCTTGCAATGAGAAAACTTTTCATATTACCAAGAACAGGGAAGGAGGATAGAAAGGGAAGTGGAAGACAAAATCAGTTGTGGAGTCTTGCTAAGACAAGGGATGAGATCCAGTCCTGCTCAGTTGCTCATCTTTGCTGTGTTGGGTTCTTTTCTCATTAATATTGAAGTGATTAGACAAGACTCCAGCATATTTTAACTTTACTATCTCAGGTCAAGAAAAGGAGTTTCTTCAAAAAGTTCTGTTCAGAAGAGACAAACTTCAGAGTGTACAAAACACATAAATCAAGAAAACTAGGAAAACTACTTGCTTAGGATGCCTAGAGCCACTTCCAAGGAAAAGTAATATCTTTAGTAACTCCCGCATGGGTAAACATAACTTACCAATGTAACTTACCAATATGTCCTGCTTTAACTTTAAATGGCACATCCAGCTGACTCTGAAAGAAAGTGTTTTAGAACATTTAAGCTCATTTCAGCAACTTGTGAAATGTTTCCATATAGGAAAAGAAGATGATGATAACCTTAACAACAAATTTACCTTTCAAGCATTGAAAAAAAAACATTCAATATAATGGAACAAGGAAGTGTTTGGTTACTGATTTAGACTGTTAAGCCATGCTAGGCTAAACATGTTCCCAAAAGCAAGTTTCTAGCTTCATAAGCTATGTTAAAAAAAAGGTCTTTCAGTATTGCTTTTGACCTAAATGCATTCTTCTAGCAATTGCTGAGAGTTTTGGTTCTGGGGAAGAAAAAAAAAAAAAAAACACCAATGAAGCCAGCATACATCTTCACCTTTAAATTTAATCTCAAATTAATTAGACAATCCACACAAATGCAAAGAAAACAAAACAGTAAGATTTCACTTAAAAGACAGTGTATCCTAAAATAAGAACAGAAAAAAGCTCATACAACCCAAAACATTGTTCGAGAATTGGTTTTGCAACAGGTTGGTTTTTTTTTATTTTCACTAACTTACCAGTGCATTTTCTTTTATTTCAAGATTCTTCAGTGCTACTTCTCCTAAAAGCAAAGAAGCCAATATGTAAAACTACAATAAGCAAAGTAGTAGTGGTGCACACTAAACATCCCGAAGTCTGAGTCAGTGGTCCCTGATCTGTGGTTCTTCAACACTTTGCTGTGGAAGATATCTACAACCTACACCTCAAATATCCATGAAAGATGATTAAGAACACAGTGTTCATTCATGATACAAAATAGTACCTGAGATTTTCTCACGGAGCTTGCATGTCCATGGAAAAGAACCTAAGATTCCTCAAAGTAAAAATGTTGGAAGTTACTGTCACATTTGGTAAGGACCCATTTTGAAATTAAGTTTGCTTCTTTTTCTTCGACCATCTGCTTCCTATGCTTGTGGAAATCTAGCAACATTAAATTTAGAGTGAATTTTTAGCCCTCAAAAGATCTTACACTTGCAAGTTATATTTATAGGCTTATAAAAAGTTCACAGGAAGCATTTCAGCAAATCTATTTTTTAAATGTCTTAAGTCAACTATGAATTCAGTACCCTGTAAACATAGAAAATTTGAATTGCAAGATCTGTTTTTACAACATACTTGACACGAGACACTTGCCGTAACAAAGGAACACTGGAAGGGACCAGGAAACTCGTAACTTAAAAACATGCACATAGTCCGAAGCAACGCCTTCTGCAAATTCTACAAGAGGATGGAACATCTGCAATGGTTACCTTCAATTAGTTGTATAGTGTTAACACATGCACATGGAACAGACATCTGATACAGCTGAGCAGGGACATAAATGAGATTCTGGAAACCAGAAGCAGATTACAGGCCTGGAAAGGAATACAACTTGAGACTGCAAATGAGGATTTGATTGACCCAATAATGTTTTCCTTTTGGGGACACAAGTTAGAGATGGCCAAACATATTGTGATACAGGAGCTCCAACTGCAAGAAATATTCTTGCAGTTATACAGTGCAGATGGCATTAGACTACTGTTCAAAGTACCTCCAATTTTGGGAAATTAGACCCTAATCTCAAAAATGCATTCATTAGAACAGTTGGTTCAAGTTGTTGAACTGCTGTGGAAGAGCTGATCAGGTAAACTAATCCATCCATCTTGCACTACTCGCAAAATACCATGAAGTTTTCAATGACCTAATTTATTCATCGCAACAATCTATTATCACTTCCCAGTAGAATTCTATACATCTGACATGTGCCACTATCAGTGTCTCCAGAGAAATACTACATGCAGAAGGATGCTTTTTGAGAGCTGGTGGTTCTGCTTTTAAGCCTTACAATACACATATATTGGCAGGGACATTGGAAAAGGGAAAAAAAAAAAAAAAAAAAAAAAATCAAAGAAAGCATTCCCAGAAGTAGTCTATAACTACTCTAACTATAACTAGTCTACATAGTCTTTGTAGGTAATAACAAGGTTTTTACATACCACTGGGTTTAATTCTACTCTAAATTTATTACCTGATAAAGCTGACCCTGCCTAGACCATTTTAACACTCATTAGAGAAAGTTTCATACATATGAAATTCTCATATTTATATGAGAAACACACCAGAAAAAAAAGGAGGGGAGGGGGGCGAAATACTTTGCTTCTCCAAGAAGACATCACTAATTGTAATTGTATTCATGGCAAGTAATTCTAATAGTATCCAGAGCAAAGCTTCAGGTTTGTAACTAAGTTACCATGCATGACATGCAATTTTTGCCCATCAGTTGAGCTATGATAAAAATGTTCACAGGCAAAGTCTAAGATTACGGGACACATGAAGCAGTTTAACTGGGTTTCATTTCTTCACTTTCACTGTCGGCTAAGTAAACATTACCTCTCATTTATCAAGGGCTTGGCACCTGCCACATTTCAGCTGAGGGACAGTAACTTAAGCTGCAATAATTTGGCAGCCCTAGTGCTTCTAAAAACAAGGTACTGCAAAGTGAGCAAGGATTATTATCTCAAGCACTTCCAAACAATATTTCGTGATGAAGAACTACATCTCATTCTACCTGAGCATGTCGTAATGGCAGCGAATAAACATGGTATTGATACTGTTTCAACCAAGAAGGCTTTGAAATGCTGGGATTGGTAAGTGGGGTAAATAATTCTTCACCATTTTTCCGATACTTAAGATCTTACAATTAATAAGTTTAAAGGTTTTAGTTAAAATCATTAGAAGAGATAGAAATCAGTAAAATTTCAATCATCCCAATTTTAGTATAAAATTACGGATGCACATTCACTAAAATATCACCGTTTACTTACGAAAACCTTGACTGAGGGTCTGACCACGCTGAACGGACTATCAAAGCACACAAAAGGTTACTACTGAAGCACTATGTTTTTTATATTTATGAAACCTTTCTGTTTCCTGCACTCGAGAGAGAGTGCAAGAAAGAGACTGACTAAACATTCCTGCAAGTAAACACGAGCTATTTCCAAAGTTACCATACCTCAGCTGGCAATCAATTCTAACGCAATTCAAAATGCAATAACTGACCATGTCAGTATTGTCTTTCATTGCCAAAATTTAGTCTCTATCACACTCGGCTGTTTCACTTGCAATGAAACATAGCTCCAAGTACAACTGCACTGAATCTTGACTGTTCTGCTGGGCGGGGGGAGGCGGGGGAAGCCCTTGCAAACAGAAGCAGGAAAATCAGGGAACAAGGGCCTGTTACAGGACATAACACAGCTACTGAATTTTACTGTCTTGGAGCACTGCCAATGGATTTTAATTGCAAGAATTTCAAAATACATCAAGATTTGGTTGTTTGGTTTTGTTGGGGTTTTGGGGAGGTTTTTTCCTCTGTTGGGTGCAATTGGATGTTTCATTGATTTGATGACAGAAATGCATCCAGATAAAAACCCATTTGATGGGTTAAAAATTTCCCAACTAAGCAACCTTGAAAACTATATATACAAGTAGTTGGAGTTGTATAAATATAGAGGGTTAAATATGCAGTCTAACAGCCAAGACAATAATAAAACCCAGAGCATTTATAAATACCTATAGCACAGTCCAGGATTTATTTAGTCTGTATTATAAAGCAAACTCTTAGCTTTACTGATCTCTGGACATTGTAAATAATTCAACAAAATCAGACGTTTGTCAAAATTCTGGAATAAATAGGCTTATAGTTTTAATTTTAGATACTCAGAATAACTTCATGAATCGGAGTGCATGAACCAACATCTACTACCAAGGATTTAGCTTGCAAAAAGAGATTTAGAAAGTAAAATAACACTCGGTAAACCATTTCACCAAAGAGGCCTAACTGAAATTTTGTTATGGATGTCAACAGAAGTTAAAGTGAGGCAAGAAAAGTAATCCACATAAAAATCCAGCAGATTTAACCTGTGTATTAATCACATCTCTGCTGTCTTGTAAATACGAACGGGGAGGAAAGGGTGGGGGCAGGGAAGGCGGATGAGAGAGAGAGAGATATGAAAGACGATAGGCATCAGAAACTGAAAATACCTCAGCTGGCATATGACCAGTACCCAACACTCCTGCTCACATATTTTAACAGAATTTCTGCTTTTTAGAAACAGCATTGTCAGCTTGTGAACCTCTTTGATCACTTTATACAAACTGCTGCCTTTGCAAGTCATTTCCCACTTGTATCCGTGCTGTTAATTCTTCCTGTTTAAGCATACCTTCTGGAGACAAGCTGCAAGTCTTTGAGGATCAGAGTGTGTGCCAAATACCTCCTCTGTTGACATCTATTGTAAAATAGGTCATGAAAGGCATCAGAAACTACCAGATATTCTCCATCCGTCAGTCCATTCAAATTACTAATGTGTAAGGGGAGGATTGCACCTGCTATACCCTTGCACCTGTTATACCTGGACAAGGCAAGGTATGCAAAAGTGGTCGTCTTCTATTATAATAACAGGTGTAGCAGGGAAAAAAAGTAAAAACTGCTGGTGTGCTCACAGCTTTGTGTCAATTATCTGCCTACATCATCCTACTAAGGTAGCTGCCCCAATAAGAGACACCAGCTATTAAAATAACAAGTTGTGTTAAGTAAGATATGCTTGAGACATTACCTAATAAGTAGGTGTGCCGAGTCAACAGAGAATTAAGTATTTTAAAGGGCAGTACAGAGGGTCTGACCAAGACACTAAATGAAAATTTACTTAGACTCAAGTGAAAAGAAAATAGTGACAACATGGACTTTGGTGAAAAAATGGTTTGGTCTCACAGTGTTTGGAAACCTCAGTGATACTTCACTTTTTCTCAAAGATAACTGTCAACACCTCACATTGCTTCAACCATTTCTTCAGCTATTGAACTGTAACTTTATTAGGTCTAGAGCATTCAAAAATATCTAACTTATCTAAATACTTATCTAACCTGTTTATCTAAGCAAAGTACTTACACATTTGTTAACACAGCTCATTGAAACTGCCTTTTTAAGTGAAGATCAGCACAAGAAGAGGTACAAAACACTGTCCTTCCCAGCACCAGCCATCCAATAGCTTTCCTTGATGGCTGCCTAACACAGTAGCTTTTTATTCTGCTTCTTACGGAATATGATTTCCTCCCCCGTTACATTCTTTCCTGAGCCTTAGCCTTTCCAATATTGGCCTTACATGTTCAAATTGCCTTTTTTACATGTATAAGTTGTTCTACATTCTCCTTTCTGCCTTGCCTTTTATATTTCAGGTCATTCAGTTCTTGCAGCTCTCTCAGCCATGAGTCTCCTTCCAGACATCACATCTTTATTATTAAGACAGTCTGCATTTTTACCCTTCAATCTGAGGGTCTTTTTAACGAGAAAAAAAAAATTAAAACATTTCTGTAGTTATTATGTGTTCACGTATGTTGTTTGGAGCAGTGTCATCACACAACTCTACTACACAGACTGAATCTGGATAGCTGTAACATGGCATGTGGCATTCTCTCATTACGCAAAACAGAAATGAATGTTAAGCATGTTCATTAAAAAGTCATTAATAAAGCTCCCAAATCTACAGAAGCTGAAACTATATCAAGTTAGTTTTTATACATATATCCAGTCTACCAACAGGTTACAAGTCTTAATCTAAACAGGCTAGTGATAAAATATCAGAAGGACATAACTTGTTCCCTACAGCATCTAAAAAACTCCCTTGGGTATTTAATCATTCAGAGGTGAAAAAAATATATCTTTTTTAAAATTTGAGATACAGATATATAGCATCCGTGCAGTGCTATAACATCCAAAAAGCACTGGCCATTTGTTATAGGGAGAAAAACTTTCCTTTTTAATCGCTACTAAAACACTGAATGGATTTAGGGCAATTTAATTTCAAGACTACATGATTTATGAGAGAAAAACTAATTTTATTCCAGTACAAGGGCACTGTTACTGAGGAAAAAGAAATTTAATTTAAAGAAAAAATATACTAAAGCCTCTAAAATATTAAAAATACTTGAAAGGGAAATAAATAGAAATAGAAAAATCCTGAAATCAAGTTCCACGTATGTGAAAAAATGTAACAGCTGAGTATCAAAACTTCAAAGTAAAAATTAGCAAGATCTATTTAGTTTTTTTTAAAAAGTGAGAGAGCTGATGTGTTGTTCTATCAGTTGCCTCATAGAAGCATAAGCTGCCAAAAGTAACCACCAAGTATCCACAGAGCTGGAAAAATAAGCTTTTACCTTTTTGTAATGTATCAACATTGCCCAAAACATTTACAGAATGTTCCATATTTTACATTAAATATTTTGCTTGCCCTCCCCAAAAGGGAAAGGAGAAACTATGATAACTGAAGAATTTAAGTACACAAATCAAACAATTAGTTTGACACACTTTTGCTGAAAGATGCAGTAACTCAATCCTTTCAAGTAAGACACACCTAATCTGTAAGAAGTATGCTATATTGGGCCTTACTGCTACAGATCAAGGAGTACTACTTTCTCTCCAGCAGTTATGCATGCTGTGGCAGTGTTAAGACTCCATACAGAGAATGAACTTTGCAAAGATCCTACAAATGCCTTGACTAACTGAAGGAAAATTACTGCAGAAATGAAACCAAATGAGGACGCCATTTCAGAAAACAGAAGCATGAAACAAAAACATCCAAGATGCAGAAAACTCCAGGAGAAGCTTCCAAAACCTGATTCATATATATGAGTACCTAAGAATGGAATTGTAAGTAGAGAATACCTCGAGGATGCTTCACACCTGCAGACGTACGAACGCACATGTGAAAAAAACCCTGCACCTCTGTTTTTGCTTTTCCTGATGCTGCAGACACCTGGAATGCACATTCAAAACCGGGCCAGGAGTGGTCACTGCACACGCATCTATTAATTGTAGGTGTCTTCCTCTTCTTCTGCTACCTTACTTTGCCCAGACATAGTGGAAAGAGAGACCTTTGTTGCTGTTTTCTCGTTTCATACATTACTATGTACGACAGAGCACATTCAAACAGAATACTTTCCTCCCTTCGGAACCGGCATGCTCATTTATTTCCATAGACCATTGCTTTCCTTGCCTAGCACAGCTGGTCACAGCCACTGCAAACACCTAAGACAGTCTCTATTTCTGATTCTTCAACGCTAAAAATGACAAACATGCTAGACCTACAGATGACAGCACCAAAACGAAATGGCACGTCACTGCTGTTTGCAGAGAGGCTCCTCACCTCCACCAGCACACCGCTGACACTGAAACGCTACCAAAACCCCACGCGTTTATTTTCAGTTTATTA